TGGCAGGGCAGGAGGAGACGCAGCAGCCAGGAGGCCATCACAGAGCACGGGGAGCTGGGGCTCCGCTCCTCCACTCACACCACATCTGCAGATCTCTACTAGACCCACAAAGGGTTGCCAGATGAGTCGCAGGATTCCAAAAGCCCTGGAAATCTACACCGTCCTTCCTTCCACCTCTCTCCTTGCCGTGTTTTCCCTCGAGCCCAGCACAGCAGCATGTTTGTGCTGGCCAAGCCTACCCTCCCTCCTTTCCACCGCACCTTCAAGCAATCCAAGCGCAGGAGATACAGTGTAACCTCAAATATTTAACCACGGGATTAAACTATTCCCTTGGCAGGAGGCAGGAGCTCTGGCAGGCTGGTGACAGCCCGCTCAGCAGCAAGCCCCGTGCCCCAGGCTACCAGAAGCTCTCCATGGCTTCTGCTCCCGGCGCTGGCGTTCCTGCTCACCGGCTCCCGGCCGTCCATCGCCTCCATCCACAGCCTCCGGTCCTCTTCCGAGAGCGCCTGCATGGTGATCACACCAGGCCTGCCGAGACAAAGGCAACGCTGTCAATAAACCACGGGATGGAAAACAAAGGTGACAAAGTTAAATGTCCCGTGAGGCAGAGAGAGGAGGAGGACAACCTTCTTCCCAGCCAAGGGGCTCAGCCCAGCCTGGCCTCCCCAGGGGTATCCCTAGAGGTCCTAACCAGGACCAGCAGTTGAGCAGTGGGTACCTCCCACCACCGACACACATCTTCAATGTTTTTAGTGTTTTTAGAGAGCTGGATGCCAAATTCTTCCTCTGGCTTTTAGCCAGACAGCTCACCTGCACTTGGGCTAAGCACGTTCAGGCAAGGGCAGGAGGAGACAACCAAAGCAAGCAGGAGACCCTCACATCCCAGCACCCCAATTCTCTTAGTGTTTCCTTATTTTAATGAGAAGGGAAAGACCAAGCCTAAGTACCTGCAAACAAAGCACAGGGAGCCAGGGGACAACACCAGTCCTGCCCTCAAGCTGGGGCCAGTGCTACCTCCACC